CTGTTTAGTTTCCATGATACATAAATCTTTTCATATATAAAATAATTATAAGTATGAAATTATTGTTTATTTAATACCTCTATTCTATTTTCATTATTGTGTACTTTGAAGAGATAGACATTCTAAAATTGATGTGGATTTAAAAAGTTGAACGTATATTAAAAGCACGGTGAGTATTTTTTGAAATACACGTTCATGTTCATGTTTATTTTTAGTTTTCATATTATTTTAGAAAATGCTCACCATGTTTTTTGAAAATGTTGAATGCGTATTAAAAAACTATTGTGTAATATTATTCTTAAATTTCTACAAACACGCTTAACATGTTAGTACATTTCTAGAATTTATTATTGTCACACAATAATATTTAATGCACGTTGAACAGTTTTTAAAATACAATATTGTCAATTTTAAATAATTGTGCATTTTAAAATAGGATGAAGATACACAATAATTGTTCGTGCTTATGGTCCTCAATGAAGATGCATAAATTTACACAATAACTTTTAATATACGTTCAACTCTTTATGTCCACATAAATTTTAGAAAAAAATCATGTTTATCTCTTCAAGGTACATAATAATGAAAATAGAATAAAGATATAAAATAAATAATAATTGCATATTGATAATTATTTTATTTTATTCACATGGAAAAAATTATGTATCATAAAAATTAAGCAGAAACTTCATTCGAAAGAAAAACAAAGCAGCACTTCAAAAAAAAACTGTAGAGAACATATGCAAAGCGATACGTAGAATCGTCCATATAATAAGTAGTTCGAAATCCCTCCATGCCAACTTGTGATTATATTTTTATGACAATTAATTATCCCTAAAAACCCAGTGTGCGTCCAATGCCCGTAACGATTTTTTTTCGAGAATTAACTTAAGTCTAAGGGCATTTCTATAAAAACATACTACACGCACAGCTCACAACGCACCCGCAGCCACTGACATGTGGCCCAAAGACACACTGGCATGCCACATAGGTACTTGATACGGCGTCCAAAGACACCGTATTTGAACACTCAGACAAGTTACGGCATCATTTTTGTGTATTTTTTTAAGTTTAGGCACCAAACTGATTGTGTTGGACAAGTTAGGGCACCTGTGGTGTATTTAAATCTTAGCTTAACCTTTCAGTTAGGAGCAGTGCTATAGGGACGATATATTTTCACCCGACATCTGGATGATATCAAATTGTCTGTTAGATTGCATCTTTTCACAAATCAGTACCGTTCAAGATGGACATTGTCTATGCACCGTCGTGTGTGGAGCAGTTTCGTTCAGTTGGGCGAATGTGATGTACTGGACATCTAGAATTTTATTTTACTTTTACGGGAAAGTGCATATTAGAATTTTGCAATCTGAAATATTGCACCGAAAGTATTAAGTTCAGTTGGGCGAATGTGATGTACTGAACATCTAGAATTTTATTTTACTTTTGCGGGAAAGTACATATTAGAATTTTGCAATCTGAAATATTGCACCAAAAGTACTAAGAATCCAACAAAACATACTTCATGTGATCACAAATATAAGACATTTTAGATATTTTAGAATGGACTACATACAAGTTAAAATGGGTGAACAAACACATCAAAAGAAGTCTACATACATCGGCGGGGTTCTATGGGACCTTAGCACGACGACTTCTCGACTGTCTACTACAACAACTTGTGTCTGACTCCGGCGATGGAGGTGCGATGATGGTAGCGCGCCTTCGGCTTGCTTCAGTGCTTGTAGTCATCGCTATGTGGTCTATGAATCTAGATGTATTTTTTATTTTTTTATGGTGTTCGTTGTACTGTGATGATTGAAGATGAATAGATCGGAAGCTTTTTCGCAAAATTAAAATAAAAAATTAAAACTGCATTTCTAGAGCACAGATGTTAAAAGACATGTCTTACCGCACAACAGGGCAATGTAGTGAATAAAAAGGCATAAAGCCATATTTCTGGCTATTTAATAATACTTTTAAATTTTATGCATTTTTCACATTCCTTGATTACAAGGTTTCTTATTTTGAGAATCACTTTTACCTTCTCTAACGACCCATCTACAAAATTCAAAAGGTTTTATATTTTTTTTTCAAATCTTGTGTTTACAAAAAAAAAAAGTGGTTTTCAATAACCTCTTTGGAACATTCACCCACCCACCCACCTGTGTCCCTTCGTGTCCGGAGCATTACCACACGCGCACCGGGGAGCTGCCCATGCAGGATGTAGCCGCCGGGGGCGCCGCCCCTCCCCGCCCAACACGTCCAGTCGCTTTCGTCATCCTCCTCCCGCCGCGGCGCCGTTCCAGGTGGGCACCACCATTGACAAGCCGAGGCTGCCGTCGGTGGCGCCCGCGTGATGGATCCAGGTCGTGGGTGTGTTGGGGAGCCGTGGCCTCTCCATGGCGCTCCACCTCGGTCCCCGTTGGCACGAGCAAGGGCAAGGCACTGCCAAGATCCTCTCAAGAGACCTCTCCTACCCCCGTGGTTCCTGGCAGTGCTTGTTGTGTCAGGCAACATTTTTTCTCCAACGATGAAGGGGCTAGGACATGTCCGTTTCAAATGGGGTAGCACCGTTGGGTGCACCATCCGTGTCCACATGTCCGTTTGACGACTTAGATGGACAAAAAACGAACAGATTTCGTGTTTATTTGGGTCTCCCGCTTGGAGTTGCCCCAATGTGTGTTTTTTTAACACAATACAATCAAAGTCGCTCACATACGCTCCTTCGTAGGAACGCACGCACGCACACTTTTGAGAGACCAAGTCGACATAACATCTTAAAATTTTACGAAGTCACCATAGACGCCTTGCAGTTGAGGAAAACATTTCCTTTCACTGAACGAACATTGCCGGAAGCCTAAAATACATTTAAAAATAATGCAAGCACTAATGTCAAGTTTAGGACTTGAACTCTGGTCGAGGAAATTGCACAAACCACCACTTGTTGGGGCTAGTGTTGCATAAAGCACCTACTATACAGGTTTGTTGCGAAGAACACCACATATTGATGTAATACATTGCAAATAGGTCTAATCTAGTGTTTAGACGCATTGACATAATTCTAGATAGATAGGTCCCGATTGTAAGGGCAATTTCAACCAGCTGATCCAAACAAACATGATTTTTGTTTGTTTTGGTCAGCCAAGCAGACGCTTGTCGAATTTTTATTTAGATTGGTCAATGCGCCCACTTTGACTGACACATTTGTCCGCGTGGTCTTAAATAAATAAATAGGCACACAAAATATTTAAATTTAAAACATAATTAAACATTAAAATCTTCAGACAAAATCCACTTCAAACATAATTAAACATAAAACATAATAAAAACAAAAAGCCTCCCAGCCGTCCTTGCCCATAGCCCTAAGTGTCATCCTCGTCGTTGGAGCGGGTGAGGTCAAGGAACTCCAGCGGCTGCGCCCAGGGGAACACCGTCTGGTAGGCTGCCAGCGTGGCCTCCTCCGACGGGGCCGCCTGGCTCCGGGCGCCTCCTCCTCTTGCTCGCGCCGTTCCTCCTCCTCCTACTCGCGCAACCAGCGCTGTCGGTGCTCCTCCTCCCCGCGCTCGCATTGCATGCGGTGCTCCCCATTGGCCCGCTCCTCCTCTAGTGCGGTGCCACTGCTCAAGTTAGGCTACTTGCTCCTCCTCCGACGCTCAAGCCACGCCCGCGGCATGCTAACCCTCCCGCATGACGCCCTGCCACCGCGTAAGTCCCGGTGGCTGCGGGCGGAGCCGCCACGGGCGCATACAATGACGGTGGTAGCGAAGGATAGACGCAATCGCCGACCGCGGAGAGCTAGAGCTCCTCCTCCGAACCAGGTGTATGAGACTAGTCATTATTTTTTTGTGATGACCACTACTTGGATGTAGTGGCCACATAGAAACTACTTGGATGCTAAAATCTAATGGCAACAATATCTACCATGTTTTTGGTGCTAGTGATCACATGCCAAACTTGTTTCATTCGAAGTTTTGTTCAAAATTTAATAATTTCAGAAAATGTGAAAAATTTGACGTTACCATTTAAGGAAAGTTTTACCACATTTAGACCAATGGTTTGCTAGAATATGGAAGTTTTAGTTAGCCCATACTATTTTTTATTCAAATTTTGACATTTTCAGTAAAATGTGAAATAATTCCTGTAAATATTACATGTATTCAATATTAATTTGGGAAAGTTACGGCTCAATTGGACCACATGTTTGGGAAGATAATGACAGTCTAATATGTTGGCTTTTGTGGCTTTTTTTATTGCCACATGTGCACTTACAAGCGTACCTATCTGTCTGGAATTATATCAATGTGTCTAAACACTAGATTATACCTATTTGCAATGTATTATACCAATATGTGGTGTTTTTCGCAACAAACCCGTATAGTAGGTGTTTTGTGCAACATTAGCCTTAATAAGTGATGGTTTGTGTAATTCCCTCACTCTGGTCGGATGGGATACCGCTTTTCCTCCTAATCATCGTCTCATGTCTTTGACCCCCAATTTTTCGTTGTGCACATCTCGCCGCCAAAGAAAAATAAAAGTCTTGCACATCGAAAAGACCGAAAGAGGCACCGATCGAGCCAGAACGGGCTTTGTGCCTGGGCCCCCGGCGTTACGTCTGATGGCGGCGGCTCGACCCGCCGCTACCCGCGAACACGTGATGACACCACGTCCGTTTCCTCCGTAACCCCCGCACCCGACGGGGCGAGAGAGAGAAGGGGAGGAAGGCGCCACACCCATCAGGCGCGCGACACACCAAAGGCGAGGGAGGCACAGACGTCCGACGCGCACGCAATTCTGGAAGGAGCCCCGCAGACGAAATCCCAAGGTAGCAGGGGTAGAAAAGAAGAAATTCTCGGAACAAACTGGCCTTTCCCCGTTTTAAAAATCCCACCTTTCTTTCTCCCTAGTCCTCATCCCCCCGTCTCGCTTCCTTCCGCCCCCTTCTTTCCCTCCCTCCCTCCTCTCCTCCCCGACGCGCTACCCGGCTGCCCCTCCCTCCTATGGTCTCCATGGCCGCCGCAGCAGACGACGACCACGACCGCCGCCGCATCGCCAACCTCTCGCCGTCTCCCTCGGACGCCCCGGCTCCCGCGCAGCCGCACCGCAGGCGGCTCCACAGCTTCTCCTTCCCCACGCTCAGCTGGGGCACCCACCGCCTCCTCCGGTGCTCCAAGGACCCCGCCTCGGCGCCTCCGCCTCCGCCTCCGCACACCCCGTCCCCGGACAAGGAGATGGCCCGCCGCTCCACGGATGGCGGTGCCGGAGGCGGTTCGCCCCAGCGCCCCCCTCAGCGGCCCTGGAACCTCCGCACCCGCCGCTCGGCCACTGCCGCGCCCGGTGCGGTCGGGCCGGAGGCCGCGGCCGATGCTGCGGCGGAGCATGCGCCAGCGCGGCCTGCGCAGAAGCGGGGGTTTTCCATCGTGCTGTCCAAGGAGGAGATCGCCCAGGACTTTGCCTTCTTCCGCGGCACGCGACCCCCGCGCCGGCCCAAGAAGCGCTCTCGCCCGATGCAGCGCCAGCTCGACGTAAGGATCGGACCTGCGTTTGTAATTCTCAAGTTTTCGGTGTTTGAATTTGGCGTCTTATTGGAGTTTTTTTTGTTCTTGTTGGAATTGCAGTCGCTGTGCCCTGGATTGTCCCTAGTGGATTTGACGCCGGACTCGTACAAGATCGAGGAGGTAAGGAACAAGGGATCGTTTAATTTGTTGTTGCGATTCAGTCCTTTTCTTTGATTTGGCTCTGAAGATGCGCCTGTGTTCTTGCAGAGGTGAATGCTGATATGGCGGAGATTCAAATGGGAAGGGATTCAGATGTGGTCATCTCTTTTGTTCTCCGATGTTCTGATCGCGTTTCTTTCTTATGTGAATGGCTAAACATCTCTGCTTCATAACTCAGAACTGTGTTATGGTGGAACATTTTAGATGAAGTTCAGTGTAGTATCTCTTTAGATGATGTGTTGCCATGGAGTTGGTGAGTAGTTTAAAGTTAAGGAATTTGGTTATTGGGCTTGTAGGATTTCTAATTGTACCAAGGTTATGATCCTTAGTGGGGTGTAATTGTCCTGTTATGTACATGGGTAATGATCTATGAAGGTCTCTTTATATGAAAATGCAGGAAACAGTTCAATTTTGCTTCGTTGTAGCGTTGAGGTGTTTTAAGTGTTCTTGTGCATTGATCACATTTCTTTTCTTCCGTGATTCGTAAAAATGTCATTCTCTTCTGTCGATATGTTGGGATGTACGGAGTAGTTTCTAAGTATATAGGTAAAGTAAAGGAATTTGGTTGTTGGACCTGTTGCATTGCTAAAATTGTATGAAGGTTATGAACTTATGATCCTTAGGTGGGGTGTAATTGTCCTGTTATTTACATGGGCTTTAATCCGTGAAGGTTTCCTATATGAAATTATAGGAGAACAGTTTAGTTCTGCTTCTTATTGTAGCTCTGAGGTGTCGAAGTACTCTTGTGCAAGTCGCTAGGTCTGCATTTGCTTGTTGTGATTGCATACGAATCGGCTTAGCAAACATAAATTAATAGTTGCACTGTATATTTGCATAGCATGGAAAGAAGATGCTTTGACTGTACTCTGATAGGTTATACATGTTTTAATAAAATGATTTGATGTTGTGTAACATAACTTGGAGTATCCATAATGGAAGATCATTTATATGCATGGCATGGCCGTCTCCTAGTTTTGCGCAAAATTGGCGGGTAAGTAAAATTATCAAAGGTAACGACTATCTTTTAAGCTTGTTTTATTATCTCTCTGACATTTGTTGTGGAGCTTTAGTTACCTCCTTTTTACCTGATATTCACTCCATTTTATTACCGAATTTGGTACTCCCTCCGATCCAAATTAATTGACGGAGCTTTAGTATTGCCTCGATATCTTGATTCCGCTGTCTGTTGCATTTGTAGCGCGTGCTTGGTTCGATGCCAATATTTGGCATGCCATGTTTAAAGGAATTTGATTGGCCAACAAAATTTTGTGGTAACCTTTAGCCAAGTTGTCAATGTTGTCAAGTTCTGGTTTTGCCAAATATTGGCTAGCCGACTTCTAGTAATAAATCAAGCATGCCCCTAGCGACGTAATTGCATGCACTTCATTTTCTTATTTTTAACACTATAACCCTAGGTTGACGGATTGTTGCGTATAATGGGCTATTCATCTTGGTAGTTCAGTTATAGTAGTACCTCATGGATGAAGCAACAAAAGTGTAGGCCATATACATTTTTATCAGGAGATAAAAGCAACATGAATTGGTGAACCTCCATCTGAGCCCAATTTACAGTTTGGTCTCTTTAGAATTATTTTTTTAAATCAATTGATATCCCTGGACATTCTAAAACAGTCTGGCTGCTAGGCAAGTGAGCACAACTCAATGCTCTTGGTGTATTGAAGTTGCACCCCCTACTTGAGCAGATCGATTAACTTCTCCCCGGAAGGGTTTTGTAGCTCTGCGCTACATCAGTTTCTTTTACCACATACTTACTGAAGTATAGCTTTGGTTAGATTTGTGGATATCATTGGTGGAAAGGGAGATACATATGTTTTCTGAGGTTTTGTAATCCATTCTTTGACTAACTAAGCATATGGTGTGAGCTTGAAGATTTGTAATCCCTATCTTACATATATTTCTCATTCTCATCTGGTCTGTTTTTTCAAGGGTCATCTGGTCTGTTACACTCAACCAGAATTGATCTGTAGGCGCTGGGTTGAGGATATGCTTTTTTAATGCTCAGTATTGTAGTCTAGGATGGAGCTTGTCTGTTCCTACCGGAGGCCCCCCTGCCAGTGTGTGCCACGGTCTGCTGCTTGGGTCAACCGCCCCAAACAAAGGTCTCTCATCTAGTCTTTCTCTCTTTATTTCTGACTTGTCTTACTAGGTTCTTGCCTGACTTGTGAATTTTTCAAAGGATCTGTTGTCTACTTCATCCTAAGAGGCTAAAAATATTCAAGTTAACTGGGAAACAAAGGAAATATTTGTGGCGGGTGGAGATTATATATGTCTGCAGATTCATTATTGTAGAACCAAATGTGCACTAGAATTGTACTCCCTCTGTTTCTAATGTAGTCCGTATTGAAATCTTTAAAAAGGCTTATATGGAGTACATGAACAGAGGGAGTATAACCAAAGCAACTCTTATAGACGTAAACATGTGCTATTTCCTTCTTTATTTTTTGAGGATACGTAAACATGTGCTATGAGGGACATAGGAGCAGAGCTGCGCCAGCAATGCGTTTCCTCCTGATTTGCCACTCGTTTCCCCCTGATTTGGGCTCTCCATTCCCATTGTCATGTCATGTCTATGTTCTTTATCTAGTATACTAAAAGCGTGATCAGCGTCGATTCACTCGAATTGTTTTCAGATAAGGCGATCGGATTTTGCAAAGCATCTTTCGAAACAGGAGGACCCATCATCTTATCTCCTCTACAGTTCTCAGCACAACACCATTTTGGACCGGTCTTTATTTCCGAGATTCCGTATTAGATTATTTATCGCTGGTTTAGTACAATTTTGTTGTAAATGAGCGACAACTAATATTATGAAGCGGAGGAAATACTTCCTCCCTCCGGAAATATTTGTCCTAGAAATGAATAAAATGAATGTGTCTATAACTAAAATAAGTCTAGATACAACCATTTTTAGGACAAGTATTTTCGGACGGAGGGAGTACATGCTTGCATTCCTTACTTGCCTAGGGTGGGAAAGAAACTGTTTTCAATTGGTACTCGCTGGATTTCTGTCTATCTTTTATCTTTTTTTAGGAAAGAATTTCTTTTTATCTTAATTAATGAATGAGACAAATCTTTTGCTTCGGTTTTAATAAATATAATACAATTTCATTCATAGACTCCTCAAACCTTGAAAGAGAATAAATTTGTGAACCAACATGTGGTTGGATAGTTAGGAGGACAGTGCTATCTCCTGTCATCAGAGTTCAAGTTCTGAATTTATTCTAGGCCTTCGGTGATGTGCGTTCAGTGGAAGAAGATGTTCCTGTCAACTACGAAGGTGTTTGTCGACTTGGTCAATCTCTAGATGTCGACTTCGTATAATGTGTTGGCTAAGTCTACTCATAGGGATAGGGTGTGCGTGCGTATGTTCATAGGAATAAGTATATATGCGTATGTATGAGCATCCTCGTCTGTATTGTGTTAAAAAAATGTAAAAGAAATTCTAGCCAACCTAGCATGCTCAGGAGTAACTATTTTTGAATCTAAAGATAGAAAAGTCACAAGCAATAAAACAACAATCATCAAAAACTGTTGTCGCCTCTCCTGCGGACCGTACACGCCAAAACTTCCATCATCAGAACATCCACAATGATCTATTCTCCAAAACCCTCCTACAATGTGTTCGTTTATTGTTCATCAGGATAGCCCTGGTCGTATTCTTAAGAAAATCATGATCAAAGGAGCATTAACATTAAGCTTCACAAATCCCATTAGAGGGCGAATTCATCCACACCCCCTCGTAGAAACGTTTGAAGAGGAATCAACAATATAATTAACCGTAAGAGCTTGTATCATTGTTGAAATTTGGATAACATCTTGAATGTTCTCCTTATGGATGATTTTACGTCTTTCTCACCACAAATACCAGGTCGTAATGGTAATCATCTCCCGAATTCTGAAACCCCATAATAGATAAATCATGATCTGGCATGTGTAACAAGAATTCCAGGACAGCCTCACCAACACGATCAACTTTGCAAGCTCTAACAATAACTTCGTAAAAACCTAGTCTTCTCCAAACCACCTTACACTGGTAGAAAAAGGGCCTGTTGTCCCGGTTCATAAGGGCCTTTAGTCCCGGTTCCTGAACCGGGACTAAAATGTCGGTACTAATGCCCTGTCCCTTTAGTCCCGGTTCAATCCAGAACCGGGACTGATGGGCCTCCACGTGGCCTGTGCGCGGAGCCCAGGCAGGAGACCCTTTGGTCCCGGTTGGTGGCACCAACCGGGACCAATAG